TGCATTGCCTAACTCTGGTAGCGCTTTGGAGAAAATCGTCGTGGGTGTTGAAACTGCTATTCAGCACTTACCCGAGGCTTCTAAGGTATTTACAAGAAAGGCTTGTAGAAATCAGTTATCAAAAAATATCGTTTCAAGTAAATCATTAAAATCTAACAAGGATCACAATATTGTCAAGAGTTTGCGTAGCAAAGATTGTTTCTACCTAAAAACTGATAAGGGAAATAAGGTTGTTATATTAGATAAAAAAGAGTATTACGATAAGGTTAACAACTTAATCGATAATGGTCCTTACATAAAATTGAAAAAGAATCCTTTGTCTAAGATGGTAACAGATCTTTAAAAAAACTTTAAAAGAATGTAACAACCTTATTGATTTTTCTTTAAAGAGAAAATTGCAAGTATCCAATCCCTCATTACCAAAATTGTATGCGTTGCCAAAAATTCATAAACCGGACAAGTCTATGCGCCCAATTGTTTCGGCTGTAGGTTCTCCGACTTATAATTTGGCAAAATGGTTATCAAGGGAGTTCGAAAATTTACCTAATCATGTACCTTCTTTCTCAGTTAAAAATAATATTGAATTCATTAACAAAATTAAAAATATAATATTGCATGAAGGTGAAATTTTGGTCTCCTTTGATGTATCTTCGTTGTTCCCAAGTGTTCCAATTCCACATATTTTAGGCTACTTGAAGGAATTACCGAACGCAAATGCTCTCGACAACAAAACTGTGATTGAATATATTGAGCTTACATCATTATGTATGAAACAAAATTGTTTTCACTTTAATAACAACTTTTTTGAACGGGAGATACAGCAAAGGGTAATCCATTGTCTCCATTTTTGGCTAATTTATTCATGAGCAGGTTTGAAGTGGAGGCTAAGAATCAGTTTGAGTATTTTCCAAGAGTATGGTTTAGGTACGTGGATGATATTTCAGTTTATAATCATCTGCTGATGATGCTAACATGGTTAGCGAAACGCGCGTCCAGTGTAAAAGTAATAGTGTTTTGGTGTATTGTGGTGATTTAGTGTTTTATTTTGCTGTGTAACACCAAAGGTTCCAACCCTCAACTCTAAGAAACTCCCCTCCAGATATGGCAAATGTTTTTTTAAACACCCTGTAAATTATAATTATCATACATATACTGCTAGTCATAATTAAAGTTTTAACTGCTTTTTCGTCTTTCCTCCAATTTTCTCATTTGCATAGCGTTAGCGGATAAGTTCGCCACCACTGCAAATTACTGTTGTTATTCCACCGACGACATTACTAACTCGAGTTTTCCGGATATGGCTCGTTAGATACGGCGCGGATTTCCTTGAGAATCCTCGAAACTAAATTATTGAAATGCCAGTAATATTCTCGTATTATTTTTTTAAAAAACACCTCACTCCCGCGCTTGTGAATGCTAATTTTTAATAATTAAATGAATTGAACTTTTAATGCTATATAAAAAATATGCGTATTATTTCCAAATGTTTTGTTACACGTTTATTCGTTTATTCTGATCTTTTCTGATTAAACGGATATTCATTTTTCCAACCCGACTTAAAAAGAAGAGAGTTAATACGATAGAGAAAGCATATAACTAAGACGCGCACAAAATCCATATAAGTATACTTGAGGCGTCACGTTGCAAAATCCATTTTTAGTATTGAAAATACTTCTGGCCGCGTTTATATGGGACCCATCTTTGAAAAAACGACATGCTAGAGGCGACATGGAGTTCAATAACCTGCCTAATCAACTTGTCAACACGTAAGTCGTTAGCTGAATAGAGCAAGGCCGTCCGAGGGCCGAAATGAGGTCTTATTAGTGTGGGCCAACTATTTTATGGATATGGATGTTTAGTCTCTGAAAGCCGATATTATTATAAAAAAGCATATGCGTCAAGGCATGGGTTGTTAAGTACAGTTGGGCTATTTTAATCTAACTCTTTCCGTATGAGAAGCAGGGGACAAATTATACGTGAAAGAGCGGAATAACATAAATAATATTTAGACTAATGCAATATTTTTTCATGGCGCGTAGAATAATGCGCACAATCGATGCATTAAAGGGAATAATTAATTAAATCATTAAGTTCCAAAACATATAATAATTCGGGTCTCATCGGATCTGCTGATATATTTTGATAAAATTTAGGCTATTAGGACCTATATTTTTTATACGATAATTATTTTTTTAATTAACAACTTAAGACAAAGAAAAGGCTTGCATGGTTTCCACCGCCAACGTAAAACAAATGAATTCAAGGCGGTGCCAAATATTTATTGGGATAAGTTTTTATCGTTTAAATATTGTTGTAAATAATAATTATCATTTAATTAGTGCTAACTGATTAAATTTCATAACACGGCGAAATTTCAACAAAATCGGCCAACGGATCTTTGAGATATTAATAAAAAATGTCTATTAGAAAATACCTTGACACCCTGTATCTTTAAAATTATACATTTCCGGACACATGTTTATATGAACTTTTTACCTTAGAACACTCAAAGAATCACCTCCTGAAGTTTGGCCAGATACTTAATTAACATCCTGTATTTAAAAATGGCTAGCTAGTGATTTAGTATGCTATGTTTATTTTAGTAGGAAAAAAAAATAATTTCATAAAAAATAAACAAACCCATAATACAAATACTATGCACCAATTAATTAATTTGAATTGTATCTAAAGGCACTTTAATAATTGAAAAATGGACAGGAGCACTTAAAAATAACTTCATAGAGTAAACCAAATATGCTAAAAATAATAATTCCAATAAAAACACACAAATGGCACATTAAAATCTGCATTATCTGAAATCAAACTATAGCTAAACGGCTAATAAAATAATAGAGACAAGACGCCGACATCTATAACAAGATGAGCAGTTTTTAATAATTATTCCGAGTTATTATTTCATACTTGTTTTACAATTATTGTAATACAGTAGCATTCCTTCAAATAAATTTTGATTTAAGTATTGTTAATATAGTCATATTAATGATTATAGCCCGTATGATTTCTAAAATAAATAATCAAGCGTGTTTTTATCAGAATTATTAAATGATTAAGCAGAAATAGTTAATATTTAGTAACTTCGTAAGTGTTATATTTTAATATAATTATGGATTTAATAATTAAATAATTATCTTAACTTTAAATTGTGGTAAACTTGTATGAGTTTCAATCATTTATATTTAAAATCTTAGTGAAGGCAATATAGATTTTAGGCAGGAGAACTCAAGAGAACGACTGTGTAATTAGTAATTAAGACTTTACAATTTTTTTTACTTGCCATTTTCTTGTCGTTCACGTTGCACGTTGACTCTTCGTTGTGTCACACACAATCTGAATTTCGGATATGATGCAGAACTGATAAATTGGACCAAATATATTAATTGCAGGTAATCAAAGACATATTTTTGTTAACTTTGCAAACATTTAAGGCATGCAATAATTTAAAAAAAAATTGACGTGAGATTACTTTATAATTCTTGGAAATCTTGGATGATAAAGATTTGAAATATTATGGGTCTGTTTTGTTTAAGAAGCTAACAAATAATTTCAAAAACTCAACTATCAAAATATATTGGTAGCAAATTTTTAAAATCATGCATAGCTATAATGTTCTATATTAATTGGACCTACTGAATGTAAACTAGGTATAGTTGCTGCAATCGATAATATATTTTGTTGCTTTTTCATATCACACAACATTTTCATCATAACAAAAAACCGTCAATACCGCTACTCATATTATGGGCACCTATGACTTAAATCTCATAATGATGTTTAAAAATACATAGGTATACATACTATGAGTAGTGAACGAAGCTGCAAACTAAGTTATCGTGGAACTATATTTTAATTTATTTTTATCTACAGTAACTATTACTTATTTTTTGTACGGCGAATTTAAATTTATGGACCGTCCATAAATTTACACCGTAAGTTCGAATATTGGTTAAACCTAGAAATACCCAGGTAATAGCCCGAAATATGCAAAAGAGGGAGTGAGTTTAGGTTAGATTAGAATTAGGTTTTAGTTGGTTTTGCATTAATAAAAATATAGGCCTAATCTAAACTTAACCTAAAGTGACTTTTTTGCATATTTCGGGCTCCTACGTGGGTAACCCTACGTTTAACCAATATTCGGGCTTTTACGGTAACATAATACTCATTCTGATTGGTTTAATCTGGCTCCATAATGAAACTGTGGGTTCGAGGTGCTGTTGCAAATTAATGCCATTAATTCTATATATACGAGTATATATACATACATACCTCACATTTCTATAGTGTCGTGACCGTGATCGTGACCATTCATGACTTCGTACACGTTCATCTCCATCATTAATATTTTTCTTACTAAATTCTTCACTTTTATAAAAAGCCATTACGATAAAAATCAAATATCACTTGTTCACTATACGTATCTGGAATATATTTCCGAATGGCAATTAGCGATATGTTAGACTGCCGGAGTGCTGACGTCACGAATGTCAAATTGCTTTGCAAACAAGCAAGTTCTTTTATATTTCTAATGAGCTCTTCCAAATGACGTCACAAGTTAATATAAAATGTAAAAAACAGGTGATTGCTGACCACCGCCGACTTTTGTGTCTGGTATTTTCAATACGCCTATGATGGTTGCGCATGTTGCAAAATCTGTGAATTTTTTAAAATTGACTAATGACATATATTAATAGTGGACCCTAAAATCTACATAAACATAGTCTCAAACTGATTTTATAAAAAAAAATAATTTACCCATATTTCCGGAAGATATTGTCAAACATATCAAAAAATACATATTTTTTAGGTACTATAAATATTATATTAATCCGATGTACCGTTATAAAACTACATTATGTGCTTTATTATTTTTTGTTATTTTAGGTGAAAACATATTTTCACAAAAGTAATTTTGAATAATTATTTTAATAATACCTGTCGGATATATATAAATGACGAACAGAAAATATTTCTATACTGTCGTCCTAAAATATATGCCTGTGTTCACAAGGTTTGAAACGTTAATTTTTGATTTATATTTAAAATAAATTTACTAATATAAAATGAAATATGCTCTGGTGAGCTTTGCAGTGGTTGCAATTACACTCATTGTAAGTATTGTACCATATTAATATTATTAAAAAACAAATTAATAATTAAATTGGTTTTATGATTCTATTGGAATATTCGATTGTATTTGTGATTACCTTTATAATTCAAAATAAAATTTAAAAATTACTGATTTATGATTGTCGTCTGTATTTTATTTACCACATTATAAGATTATTTTTATATATTTTAATTTTAATTTAAATTAATATGAAGTTAACTAGTTCATTTTAAATATTGTCAGGTTATTATAAAAATTATATCAGAATATAAAATAAATTAGAGTCACCCCAAGTAGCATTTTCACGACTTGCGACCACATGTTTACTAAACACAACGTTGGATTAGTTACAAAAATTAGTTAGCTCCCTACCTTGGGTATTAAAATAAATTTAAACGTTTTTATAACGTTGTGCCGACGTTGGACTAGTACTACAGCAAAGTAGAAGCTTCTGCGACGTCGAATAAACATTATCTTGTAACCTTTTTTGCTTAAGTGATCTTTAAGTGATTCGGACAACGTAGTTACAACGTTGGACAATATAGAGTTTTCCGACGTCAGTTTCAGGACCTATTCCAACGTTATGCAAACGTCGTCTGTTTTACTAATTCCAACGTTGTTTAGATTTCCTTATTCTTACGTTGGAGGACGTCGAGTCACTACCTTTTTGCAACTGTATTGAACCATAACTTTAAATCTTAAATTTTCACTTCATTGTTCTGTTCAGTCAGACAGTTCAGTGCTGTTTTTGTTTTTATAAAAAAAACTTAATTAAAATGGGACATAAGAAAGGTACATATAAAACTAAATTTAAATATACATCGACATATATTACCGATAGTTTATCCACTCCCTCGTTTATTTAGATTATAGAGGGCGGCACAAGCTAGACTCTAGGATGACTAAATTAGGCAATCTTGCGACTAGTATACTACCTGTTAAGGCCGAACTACGACTTTATTAGTCCAGTATGCGACTACTCGAACTACTCCATCTTAATCTTCAAAACAACAAAATGAAAGCCGCCATGTTGTTAAATAAGAAAATGTTTCGTTCCAAAAATAGCAATTTCTGCTTTTTGAATACATTAACTTGAAATATTTGACCCTAAAAAACACGCGGAAACAATTTTTTCGACTGCGAATAAATTATTCTCATTTTACTAAAAATAAAATTCAAGAAAATTTTTAAAACTTCTTTAATTTTAAGGCCCATTAGTATTTTTCAAAGTAGAAACAATACATTTATCAATAAAGTTGTTTGCGTTTAACTTTTTTGCCTTGGGTAACGAGTTACAGAGTCGGTTAAAGTGTTTCAATAATTATGATCTTCAAACATCCTCCACACTTAAATACTTTTGTTTTGTTTTCCTTCACTGCCATCTGACATATGTCTCTAACTAAATCATAAAAATAATATTTTTACTATAATTATCCCAATTTAGGATAAAACGCGACTTAGACGCCACATTAGTTTTGTATTTCTGTGAATTAGGATTTTATACAACGTTGCAGTTTGTACTAAATTAGGCTTCTAGCCAGCGTCGGTATCCAACGTCGTTTCGACCCAAAAATGATTCTCCAAACTAGTGCAGACTAGGGATGGCACGAGGTTGTGCCGACGTTGCGCCCCGACGTTTGGTCGCGTGACACAACGTTGTCCTGACGTCCAAATGCTGCTTGGGACTAAAATGCTCTATGTCAGATTTTCAGTTTAACTTACTTTAAAATACCTACGTAGTGTTTCAATTTTATTACAAAGGAGGATTATCTCTGTAGTTATAATTTTTTTTTTTTGGAGGGGGGGGGGTTACGTCATCATTATATGTCAAATACGAGTTTTATGCTATACGCACACTGGGCTTGCGTTTTTTAGAAATCATTGATGATATTTGGGTTAATACTTCAGGAATATTTTCAAATAAGAAATTAAACTGAATGACTTCAGGTTTGTTCCGTTTTCCAAGTAATTTATTTAAAGTTTCCTAAAAAACTACATAGAAAATAGTAGACTCTAATTCAAAATTTTAGATAACCATCAAACAAAAGAAAAATATATCAATATTTCCCCTAACCCAAACCAAACTACCAATTGATAATATGTCTATTTCATGTAGTTAATTAATAATGGTATTTTTTTAGGGATTCAGTAAAAGCCAATGGGGTGGACCTCCAATGTGGGGAGGGGGGCCGCAGATGGGAGGCCCACCACCTATGGGCGGGGGTGGACCTCCAATGGGTATGGGTGGAGGTGGTGGACCACCAATGGGTATGGGACAAGGAATGGGTCAAGGTATGGGACAAGGTAAGTGGAAGAATTCACGTTATCTATATTAGTTCCACAGGTGCATATATATTCTGCAGTCGAAAAAAAAACGGCCTCAGAGGTGGCCTGTAAATGTAGATCGCTATCATTTCATTAGTCATTATCTAATTAACTTGACGCCATTTCTTTTTCGATTATATGATATCTACAGTAGCGATGGGAACTATCGAATGAATTAGACTATCGAATGGTTACTGAATGAATGATTTCAACTATCGAATGGTTTTATTCGAATAAAATCATTCATTCATTTGTATACTAAAGCATATGTGACAACCTCGCCGTGCGACTAAATGGTTATCGTTGAGCCACGACTATCGAATGCTTTTGATAAAAATTTAAATTTAGTATTCGTTTGATTTTTGTGTGCGTCAGTGCATTATTAGTTCTTCCAAATTTTTATAACTTCGCCTTATAAATACTGTGCTATTTTTGCGTTTATTAAAATATTTAAAATACTAAAATAGTAGTTTTTTTTAATTGACGATTGTGTGCGTGTGCAGGTGTCAAAATTTTTCCGAAAATTTGTGTGATTTTCCGTAGCCCGATCTTTCAATTATTTTATTTTATATGGTATATGGTCTATTTTTTAATGGGAAATTTTGAAAAGTAGCAATTTTTAAGAGAGATGAGATGAACTTAGAATTAATTTTAAAAATACATATTTGTATTTTAGATGTTTTAATAATATGAATTAGTTGAGCTTAATAATCATATTTAAGTAATGTGGTTAAGTAAATGGGGGGTTATCGAATTCAAACTATGGGGTGAGAAAATTAAACTGAAAGTTTTACACGTGCCAATTTAAAAAAAAAGTTAACGATGTTTGTATTTTGTTTATGCTAACTCTCTTACATGTAGTTTTTTGCAAAGAAATATTTCATTTATTTTTTAAAGTAAATGCCAGTAAAAGTAAATATTATTTTTAAATAGTAATATAAAGTACTTAATATAGATAATTTTGATTTCTAATTTTTTATTTATATTTTCCTTCCATTACACTGCATGCTTAGAAAATTAATAAATGTTTATATTTCATGATTTTAAAGTTTGTTGTTAATATAACAAATTAGTTCTGTAATTATTATTATTTAATAAACCAACGTTGCCAAAAAATTTAAAGACTATATTATTTTTAAATAGGATCTAATATAAATAATTTTGACATCTAATTTGTTGTTTATATTTTGCTACTACGTAAGAAAAATGTTCATATTAAATTTTTTTATTTTTTGTTGTTAATAGGTATAACAAATTATTACTGTTATTATTATTTTTATTAAACCAGATTTTTTTATTTTCTTTATACCAGGAAAATGATTTTTAATGTTTTTAAGCAAAGATAAAAACATTAAAAATCGTTTTCCTACATCCAAAATAACAAGTATTATTGCAGTGTAACAACAGAATATTAATAAAAAAATGCAAAATATATAGACATACTATCCCTAACTAACTAAAGCCAAACAATAATATTCTTTGCTAATATCAACTAATACCAATATATGGCAACAGCGCCCTTTATAATGTATTTTCTGTGTAAATACTATCACCTCAATAAAAAAAAATAATGTGTCCTTATCTTTATATGACTCCGCAAAAAATCAAAGATGCCGGCTTCTTTCATAGCATTGCCACCCACCGCTGTCGGGTTTCTCGGAAAGAAACCTACGTCGCCGGGCGACAACTAAAATCCAGTTAATATTTTATTATAATCGATCCTGACGAATAAATGAATTTCATAAATGAATGAATTTTATAAATGAATGGTTTTTGCTGCCGCATTACTAGAATACAATATTTCAAGGCAGATGACGCATCTATTCGATAATTTTTATTCGAATAGTTTTCAATGAATGTTTTCTTACCAGCTATCGAATTATTCGAATGAATTGCAACTATCGAATGTTTCGATAGTATTCATTCGATAGTTCCCACTACTAATCTACAGCGCTTTTTAAAAAGGGGAAAAACATTTTTAAAATATCTTCTGCATACTTCCATAAAAGGTGCGACCTAAAAGTTACTTAAAAGGTATTCTTACTAGATATGAGTTATTGGTTGTTGGTATGAACGAAAATTATTTAGAAGACTTTGTTTCGGTCAATTTTGCAGAAGTTTCAAGAAAAATACCTAAACCTACATATTTAAATATCTATAAATTTTACTAACAAGAGAGAAAGAGCTCGGTGGCACATATGTTTATTTTTAATATTTTAGTGTTAACCCATAGGTATGCACGTTCTTGGGTAATATGTGGAAACGTTTATTGCATTAAAATATGCCGCATCTATAATAACTTTTACCCTCAAAATTTCATTCGAATCGCTAAAAGTACTTTACGGAAATTATAATAATAAAAAACTTAAGATTTTATTTTCTTTACAATGAACTTATTTTAATTCCAGAAATACGTAATCTATATCCGTGGAATAATTATTGGAACACGTAAAATAATTCTACATTAATTATAAATACATTTTTTTATCTTAGGTGGAGGTGGCGGGAACCAAAACTACCCACAAAATAGCACAACACCAGCAACTACCACTACCACTACATCATCTTCATCGAATTCTGGACCACCACCTGGTAATTACAGTGGCGGTGGCCCTCCTGGTGGAATGGGAAATGGACCACCAAATTTTGGATAAAATAATAGATGGGTAGATCAAAAATTAGAATCATTATATAGACAAATTTACTAGCCAGATCATCTACTAGTTTATTAAATATTAACTTAATTTATAAAATTTATATTTTACGCACTTCATTTCAATAAATTTTGTATATTCGTTGCTTATTTTTCTACATAAAATTAACACTTATGTAAAATTAAATACAAACTATTTAAATAAAGTCATGCAATTTTTGAAACCATTTCAAATCAAAAATTAATAATAATAAAAATAAAATAAAATTCTTAAACGATGTGGAATTTATTTGTAACACTGTAACATAGCATCGAAACTACACAAAAATATTTTATCGGAATTAAATGTACGAGAGGGATTGAGCTAGCTCTAATTCAATATAGATGCCTCTGTATTTGTCTTGCCATAAGCAAGGCTATATATCAACGTGATATGAAGAAAAATCGTAAAAGTTTTTCCAGAAACTCCTCCCCGTAGACGCAAGAAAACAACAATGTAAATAACATCACATTACAACTTCCTGAGAAATTCCTTGACTTTTATGGAAAAAGAAGTAATTGAACATAAAAAAATAAAACAAAATTAATGAAATTAATCATAAATAAAATAATTTATTTAACTAAAAATTTGAAATTAAGAAAAACACTACAGTTTTTTGGTACAAGATTTGGTATGTAAGTTGATGATAAAAATCGAGGTTGAATTAGCGTATTCAATTATTTTCGGCCACTTCCTGTTTCAAACAAGCAAACAAAAAACGCTTTATTGTACAAAAAGCCAAAACGGCTTCATCGACAAAGCACTCACAAAACAAACAAAAGCACAAAAAAATACCAACAACAAAAAATACACAATACAAATAATACAATTCAAAAAAATTTAAGTCATTAAAATAACAAAAAGAATATACATGGACAACTGCAGAACAGTACGCAGTAAATAGATATAATTTTAGAGTTATAAAATATTAAATGCTTGACCTTTGACCAGTGTGTGAGATGATCAAAATTTTAAAATTCAAAATTGTTCATAATTAAACATCAACAAAAAAGTCGTTTACCGTATATAGGGCTCTCTCCAGTAAGTATGATTTTAGAGCTTTGCGAAATGCGGGAAAGAATGAAAACGACTTGATATTCAAAGGCAGATGATTGTATATTTTTTTGGCATTGTACAGTATTGAACCTTTAACTAGTTCTGAGCTCGGGGTTGGCAGATAAAGATCGTGCTCCGCATTCCTATGTGGATAGTTATGAGATGGCCTTTCGGGAATAGCAGATATGTGCTTGCGGATTAAGCAAACGGATTCAAAAATGAATAAAGAAGGAAGAGTCAGTATTTTGAAATTTTTAAAGAAATTCGGCAGTGAGTTCTACTGTTCAGTCCCAATAAATATCGAACTGCTCTCTTTTGAAGTCTGAAAATACGATCAAATTTTGTTGCGCAGCAAGTACCCCAGAACGGAAGGGCATAACGAAGATGTGACTCAAAAAGGGCATAATAGGCTATTCTAGAGGTTGAGAAGTTAAGTTCCTTAGAAACTGATCTTAGCGCAAAACAGGCAGCGCTTAGTTTCTTTGATAGAGCTTCGATGTGAAAGTCCCATTTTAACGAGTTGTCTACAACAAGTCCAAAGAATTTCAAGAGTCCATGACGTCAATAGTGGTGTTATTAAGTACAAAAGGTTGTATAGTACTTTTATATGACAAAAATTTAGTTTTTGATAGGTTGAGGCATAGGAGATTAGAATCGCACCAAGATTTAATGGTGCGTAAGTTACTGGATATAGTATTATATAGTGCCGCAACATCTGGGCCGCTCCAAGTGAAACTAGTATCGTCAGATTTTACCCATGGTACAAAGAAAACAAGGTATGATCGACGGCGGTTCCAATTTCGTTAAGTTTGCGCATACCACCTGTGACGTCATAGGCCATACAAAAAAATATCCATATTGTTCAATTGCCACTAATAAAAAAAGACCAAAAACAGGGAAGAATTAGGATATAACCCCAAAAGTTATGTCAAATCATCGAGCTTGACATTTGAAAAATTATTTTCACATTTATTGTGTCATCTGTTTGACAATTTGAAATTGGCGCGCGGAGCTTTCCTACCAATGGTGTCGTTTATCACCTGTGACGTAGTGACCAACCTGCGCAATATCATACCTTGTATTCTTTGTATCATGGATTTTACCGCTAATGTCTAGATTTGCAATGTCGTTCATAAATACCAGAAACAAAATAGGGCCAATTACTGAATGGACACTACATTTTATAGGCTTACAAGAAGACATAGACGTATCAATCCTCACAAGCTGCCTTCTGTTGCCAAGATACGACTTAAGCCATTCGAGCGGCACTCTCAGTGATTAATCAATGACCAGATTTTTCGAAACACCCTGTATACATTTTTAAAAAATCTTAAAATATGTAAAAAAAAAATATATACGTGTTTAAGCGTTGTTTCGGAAACTCGACCGTTTTTTAAATAAAAAATATTGTAATATTTGAGGGGTGGTTTCACCCTCTTGGAACTGGAATTTCGAAAAATCCCTTCTTATCTTCAAGCTTAATCAGGTGACTAAACGCTATTTGGTATGAATTTTAGTTGTGTAATGGGTGTTCAAAAGATTTTTCTTTATATGAGAAACATAGTTATCATTTTTCTTGAATGAGTTCAATAATCTAAAATTTTTAATTTAATTAAAACAAACTATACAAACATCTAAATAGAACTTTTCTATTAAATTAGAAATAGGGTACGAAGTTTATAAATAAAAATATCTAATAGACTTCCACTTACCGACCTGTCTATTTATCGAAACTTTTCGCATCGAACGATTTGCTAATTAAAGGTTCGTGACAAATAGAACAAAAAAAGCTGGCTCGGAGTGGAAGCCAATTTATTTACGATAAAATGCGGAATTTTACCCCGCTTTGATGAAATTCCTTTTTTGTCACTTTTTAAGATGCTCTCTGTGTGCCTTTTTGAATCAACAGGACTTTCGCAAAAAAGCAGGACGGCTTTAATTTTCTCAACAGGTCGAACGTACTTAGTAAAAAGCAGCAAATTTATAAAAAAGTTGACAAATTATTTAAAAGCAACCATTCAATCGAATGGAAATGAGTTTGAGTGATTCGTCATTCTGTCACGGATTTTAAAAAATAAAACAATTCTTTGAAATAAACAAAAACAATTTCAGTTCTTCTTAATCTATACTAATATATAAAATCATTAAGGGACTGACATACTGATTAATCGCGATCCTGCTCAAACCACTCAACGTAAGAAGCTCAATTTTGGCATAAAGGTTGATTCTAGAATATAGAGGTTCGATAAGAAGGAATTTTTCGAAATTCCAGTTCCAAGAGGGTGAAACCACCCCTCAAATATTACAATATTTTTTATTTAAAAAACGGTCAAGTTTCCGAAAAAACGCTTAAACACGTATATTTTATTTTGTTTTTTTTACATATTTTAAGATTTTTTAAAAATGTATACAGGGTGTTTCGAAAAATCTGGTCATTGATTAATCACGATCCTGCTTAAAGCGCTTGACGTAAAAAGCTGATTTTTGGAAAACAGATTGACTTTAGGGTGTAGGGGTTCGATAAGAAGGGATTTTTCGAAACTCGAATTCTAAGGGGGTGAAACTATCCCTCAAATATTAAAATATTTTTTATTTAAAAACTGGTGAGTTTTTCGGAAAAACTCTTAAACACGTATATTTTATTTTGTTTTTTTACATATTTTAAGATTTTTTATAAATTTATACAGGGTGTTTCATAAAATAAGACCATTGAGTAATGACGATTCTGCTTAAACTGCTTGACGTTTAAAGCTGATTTTTGGCAAACGGATTGACTGTGGGGTGTAGAGGTTCGATATGGAGGGGTTTCTCGAATCTCAAATTCCAAGAGGGTGAAAACGCCCCTCAAATATTACAATATTTGTTATTTAAAAAACGGTTAGTCTTTCGGGAAAACGCTTGGACAAGCATAATTTATTTGGTTTTACATATTTTGAAATTTTTTAAAAAATCATACAGGGTGTTCCAAAAAGTAAGTAATTTCTTAACCACGATTCTGCTTAAACTGCTTGACGTAAAAAACTTATTTTTGGCAAACGGATTTTTTGAAAGTCAAATTCCAACGAGATGAAACTACCCCTCAAATATTACCAAGTTATATAATAATATCGCCATATTGTTTTTTCTCATGCTGACATAAATGTGAGAAAATTTTATCCGGTTTGTATGTTAATGGAAATTCTTGCTTTGCTTTATCATCACCATTACAAATGATTAATTCGATGCGAACGAAGCTGGTACACGCTAGTTTGTAATAAATTTAAAAATCATTTAACTTAAATGCCACACTGTCAGTTATTGTCTGCTATTGCTAAAATTTTATCATCTCTTGGTTGTCATGAAAACGAAGAATATAAATCCCCCTTCAATTCAAAATCAGCCTTTAAATCCATTTTAGCCTTTGAATCCATTTAAAACGCTATATATAAAAAAATACAATGTACAAAAAATATTTTAATAATTGGGAATCCGGAATACTTTTTTCATATATTCGTCCAAATCATGCCTGTAGTAGTTTTAATAAAAATCTTGTATAGACAGATCATAGATCACCTTTTAGACATGTATTTTGTTACTTATATACCTAGTTATGTTTTTCAACAACAATAAAATATTATGATGATCCTGCAAAGTAACCGAATTTTCTCTTTTGTTTAGGGTAAAAAGATAAAATATCAGCAAAGAGTGAAAACACTAAAACACAAAGCTTGGAATCTTTAGAGAAAAGCTATTCTCAAGTCGACAATATTATTTGAGAACGATAAATTTGTTTTGTTGAGGTCGTGACCAAGAAAAAAATACATTGAAACATAAAAAAGGACAAAACTGACATCAGCATCTCGGCCTTGTCCTATCTTTTTTTTGTATCGAAATCAATAGAAGGAAGAAGAAATAAAAATATTAACATATAAATAGGGCGTCGTGAATAAAACAAAACGCGCTAAACTCCCTACTAAATTCCCCAAATTGCAAAGAAAGAAATAGGGGAATATCTATTTTGTATGGCCTATCGACCGTTCCTAACAAAAAAGAGATGTTTTTATCTATAGACGTTAGAATATAAGATTTGGTTTGGCTGCAAAGACATACTGATAAATATCTCAGT